TTTTCCCACTACAACAAAGTCTATATGCTCTGGATCTGTGTAAGGTTGGTGCTAATGTAAAAAAAGAAAGAAAAACCTAAACATTTAATTTGTAGTTTTGCAATCAGCAAGGATACCAGTGTGACCTGTTAAAGGAGCACTCTGCTGATTTAGTATAGCACTTTCATTTAGTCACACTCAAACGAGTTAAGAGTAGGCCTATAGAAGAGAGGGTAGAGGTAAACACATTATACTGTTTCAACAGGCTGAGCAGTAATCTTAATTAGTAAATTGACGTGTATGTGTGTATAATGTGTAAAATTGGTGATGTGTCCCTTCAACATTGTCATAATTGTAAAAAGGTTTGAAGAGACAGATTATTAAAAGAATGGTCTAAGCATTAGCTGCGGAGATATCCTGACTTCTAGTCTGCAGTATGTGTCAAGATCCAAAAACCTCAAAACAAAATATCAAATTAATGCCACGTTCATGTCATAATGATTACAAGTGTCCGACTTGTAAATACAGCGTCAACATCCAAGTCATAATCATTACTAGGAAACAATGTGTACGTCCTTGACCTGTATATTTAGTCATACCCTCTTTAATGCTTCCACGCATTTGTGTGTCTGCTGCGTGCTTGTGATCAGATGTACGTCCAGTATCCACAGGCTTTGTTATGCAGTCTGAATTGTAGAGTCCTAAAGGCGAGTGTGCTCCATATGGAAGTCTGTAGCAAAGAAAATGAGCTGCTCCAAGGCAGACCTGAGGCTATCAGTATGTCAATCAATCTGGACACTGACCACTCTAAACACACACATGGACACACACACACACACACACACACACACACACACACACACACACAGACACACACAATTTAAAGATAAACTACTTTGTGTGTATGTGCTTGTGTGTCTCTCCACTTGAGGGCAGTGTTTCCCCTGTAGACGGTAAAAACAAGGCTGCTGGCACAAAGAGCAGCGTCACTGTTAAAGTGGAGGCATCTTACCCATCTGTGTTAGCACACACAACCACACAGTCCATTGTGTATGCTTTTGTCGTCTTGTCTGTATGATTGTGCATTGCTGTGACTTCTGTCTGCGGCTCCATTTGTGTGTTTGAGTGTACTGTTTGTCCCAGAGCAGGGACCTGTGTGTGTGTGTGTGTGTGTGTGTGTGGTTGCTCGGCTAAACCCCTTCTCTCTCCCCAGAATCCACCAGGCGGTGAGGAGAAGTAGGCCGCTTAAAGATAGCTCCCGGCAGCCTCAATACCGGCTCCCAAAATATATCTGCTCATGAGAGTCATCAACGCTCTCCCTCCCCCATCTTTCTTATTCTTCTTTTGCTCTGTCTCCTTTTGAAAATAGAACGAGAATCAACCTTTGAATTTGCAAATTGATACCCTGAGTGGATGTTTGTGTATGTGTGTGCAACTTTAAGCGTGTGTGTGTGTGTGTGTGTGTGCACGCATGCATGTTTCTGTTCACGTGAATGAGCGTTTACATTTTTGGGGATCTTAAAGTTTCACTTAGAGGTTCTCCAAAACGGACACCACAATCATTTTGGGCTCCTCAAATGTTATATTAAACAGAGAAGAACAGAAACACCAGAGCAGCAGGGATCAAGATTTTTTGTAAAAAATGAAAAGATGCATTCATTTTTTATTTATTATTAAATTGCTGACGATGCATTTTGTGTGAAACGGCTAAAGGATCAATTGTTTTAGCACTAATTTAAATTGTGGCCCTGATGCCTTATTTTGTTTTCTTACACCATCCAATAACATGCAGGTCAGATAAATTGCTGAGACATCTGCTCCACCCCCCCCCCCCCCCTGTTACCTCAAAAAAAAAATGTCTGTGGGAAATAAATAAATAAATACAAGTGGAGTGTGACCTCTCATGTTAGCTCAATATTCCTCTTGCTGCCTGGATGAGCTGAGACCGAGTGTGTACTTTACCCCCCATCGGCCCACATCCACAGAGAATGAGGACAATAGTTTGGCTCAGAGACATGTGTGCCTAATGTAGTCCTTTTATGTGGGAACGTGGAACTGTATGGAGATGGGAGAGAAAGGGGATCATTGTGTTCCTCTTTTCTTTCTGTCTCTGAGGCATGTCTCTTGCATCTGTGTTTGTACTATCACTATGAAAATGTATTTGTACAAAAGCCATAATACACCCATGTACGGGTTAGTAATAACACACTTTTATTGTGTAATGGTGTTCATTTGAATGGTATTGTGATGGTATGATTTTATCCTTTTATTGTTGTCCAAATGCAAAAATTATTTCAACCCAATTTATATTTTATTTTCACGTTCAGACTTTTCACAAGATCATCACAAATGTTTGCGTTCTGTTCATTCCACCAAAAACTAAAGGCAGCAGCGTCACACAATCATCGATTGGCAGCATGTTTATGCAACAGAAATAATTGATGTAACGCTTTTATAGTGTACCTTTCATAACGACTACATCATTTCTGACCTGTTTAATGTCCACAGCATAATGTTGCACTTGGAAATGAGTGGTTCTCTATATGTTACATGGACAACAAAGTACGTTTAACTCTCTTTTGTAGGCTGCTAACCATCACAATCAAGTTGAACTGCTACTGTTTAGAGATAGATCATCAGATGAACAGATGTTCATACACTTTGTCTTTATAATCTTTGCTTTGTTTGTCAAAAAGGGCATGTTGTCGTGAGACCAAATGGATCAATGGATCAATATCCATGTCTATTATAATGTGACAGTATGAATAACTGAGTTATGCCATTTGCCACTATGACAACGTCCCAGAAAATCTATTGATCTTGTGAGGTCATTATTTAGTTGCTTCGTTTTTATCGGCATCTGAAATTCGCTGAAATCGAACCAACGGCAAATAGAAGGAGATAAATGGGTTTGAATTTTAAAATTGTAAAATTGAGGAGCTTGGTCTGAAAAGACCTTAAGCCACGCTAGCGCTAAATGCTAACGTCAGCATGATAACATGCTAATCTTAAGCAGGTTTAACATTTATCATTTTCACCATCTTAGTTAAGCATTGACACAAAATACAACTGACGCTTATGAGAATGTCGTTACTTTTGCAGGTATTTGGTCATAAACCAAAGTATCGGACAAATACAAATTTGACCTGATGATGGCGCTCAATAAAAAACTAATGGATCACCAAAGTAATTACAATTCAGAGGAACATCCATGTACCTCCCATGGCAATTCATCCAATAGTTATTTTTAATATTTCACTAAAAACTAGAAATATAATTCTCGTGGTGGAACTAGGGAAAAAGTCGTCGGATCTCCAGGGTCGGCAGGATTCCTCCTCTGGAGACCATGAATGTCTGTAGAAAATTGCATAGCAATCCATCCAAAAGTGGTGGACTGACAAACTGACAATGTCTAGAGCCCTGCCACTAGCACCAGTGATAAAAGTGTCTGTTGCCATAAAGCAGGCATGCTCATTAATTTGCAACATTGCTTGCAATGACCTACAAACACACAGAGGTATTAAAGTGATAGCTGCTTCACTGTACGGAAATCAACTGGTAGAATAAACTCTGCCATGTTGCATTACATTTAGCCCAGCTTTGACTCCTTCTATTCATCCGTATGCCTTTGCTGTTTTAAGTCTTACTGACTACTGACAAATTATTTGAACAATCACGTATTTTAGAGAAAGAACCTGCAGATACAGTAACTACTTATACTGTATGTGTTCCCCCTGGACACTGCCTGTAAGACATAGTCAGTCACATTAACCTCAGGATGCCCTTTTAACCCCCACTGTGCATTTTCACACACACACATCCATACGTATAGACGTGCACACATACATCCGCACGCCCACGCGCTAATATTGAGGTCAGATTGAGAGATGGAGACAGACCCCCATCATGGCAAACCCTCCGGCGACCTCTCTGTGAGCTGTTCACTCATGTAAAAGAAGATCCATCTGTGGACAGGGATGGAGACATGAAGCACACACACACACACACACACACACACACACACACACGCACACACACACACACACACACACACACACACATTAATATACAGTAAGTAATATAAACAGTATCCAGCATCCAAGAAAGACAGAGGTAGAAATGGGGGGTTTAGAGAAAAGGAGGAGAGGGGCATGAATCAAGGCAGATCTGTACGGCATTGCCCTGAGATACAAGATGTCGTAATAAGGCAATTGGGAGAGAGAGAGATTGAGAGAGGGGGGCAGAGAAAGAGAGAGAGAGAGAGAGAGAGAGAGAGAGAGAGAGAGAGAGAGAGA